AAAAAAAAAAAGAATTTAATGTTGACTTGAGAGTAGGCGTAACTTATTCTCCCCTTTATGTTTTTGGTCCTCTATGCTCCCCCTTGGAACAGGTGGTGGCAAGATGAGTCGTCCCTTTTTTTTCGTTTTTTTCCCCTAAGCCTCTAAAGGGGGTTGCCACTTTTTATTTTTGTTTCCCCCCCCTGCAAAACATTGCCTTGGCAGGGTGCTGCTAACAAGGGTGACAGGAGCAGCCCACATTAGCAGGTACTCCGTTCTTGATGGCCCGAGTATATTGGTGGGGAGCAGCACCTTGTCGTCACTCGTTTTCTCGTTTTGAGTTTAACGTGTTGCTTGACTTGCTCTTTTGTGTTCGACATCTGAGCCATCACCATGACACTATCTACTGCGCGTGTGAACGATCTTGGAGCCACGTTACCAAGATAAGTGAGCACGTTTGTACACCTTCGGCATCATCATCATCATCATCATTGTTTTAACGGGAGCATAGAGAGTAGCAAGTACCATCGGCGACAGTTAAGCGACGGGCGTAAGATACACACAGCGACTTTATCGAGGTGATGTGACACATGGCAGGACACGGCGATCATCGAGACTACAGCGGGGGCGGGCGCAACCAGGGCGGAGGAAACCGGAGTTGCGGTGGTGGTAACCGTGACTATGGCGGAAGTCAACGCGGCTACGGTAGTGACCGTGGTTATGGAAGTGACCGAAGTCATGGAGGTGATTGGAACCTTGGCAGTGACGGTGGGTATGAGTGAGCCCCCCGGAGAGGACCCGTCACATGTTACAATTGTGGCGAGCCAGGACATTACGCTAATCAGTGTCAGCAACCGCGGCGGGGTGCTGCTCCAGGACCCACTAGCTCATCAGCGGGAGGAAGATTGTCACCCAGCAGAATGGATCGAGGGAAAGCGCAATCACAGTCTGAACCACTGGAAGCGAAAGTAGCGGAAATCGGCAAAAACGTAGCGGCAGTTTGCCAGTTTGTAGAGATTGAACAACAGAAGAAAGCAGCCAACGAGCGCAGGAAGCAGGAGAAGAAAGAAGCAGCCGCGCGTGTGGAAGCTGAGAAGGCAGAAGCTGAACAGAGGAGAATTAAGAAGAATGAGAAAGCTAGGAAGGCGGCTGAGCGGAAGGAGGAAATGCATAAGGCGCTCGACCTCAGGATGGCGGTCCGAGTGGGTGAACTCCGCGATGACGTTAGGGAGGATGTGCATGAGTAAATCCGTAACGCTATAGGCGACCTATGCGTTGCCGTGGCACGTGGGAAGCAGCCAGTTGTTGAACCAGCCGAAAGGGCAGCCGTGAGCAGTGCGAGCAGCAGTGAGACGGAAGAATTAAACTTGAAGACGCGCGCACTTTGCCTATCCGAGAAGCGGAAGAGGGGACCTGAACAAGTTCTGGGGGATAGCCCGCCAATGGAGCTACCCCCGAAGCGCACACCGAGACGCGTGGCGAAGACTAAAACGACAGGAAGACTGACGCATTCGAAGAGCCGAGTTGCTTAGACCCCGACACCTAAGAAGACCCCACCATCAATCCGGAAGAGGACACCGGCTCCGATTGGCATGATCGGCCGACTGAAGTTTGAGAAGCGTGTGATGGGTGAACTAAAATGCCTCGATGCATTGGTATTGCAGAATATCTGCAAGGACGAGGGTATTGCCTATAACGGCAAATTCGAGTTTATCTTCGATATTGCTGCCCACCGCACTCGCACCCTATATGGACCAGACGAAGAAGAGGAGGCTGAGACCTCCGTTGCAGCTGAAGCTGAGGATACCGCCGAAGAGGATGAGAAGCAGGATACCGAATGATGTGGTTTCAGTATTGCTAACCTTTGGGAGATCGTATGTTGCCTAACGAAGCTGCGAGCATTGGTCGATGGAGTGGACGCGAAGGTCGAAGAACTTCTCCGATTAGCGATCGTTAATTTGTCTTTGTTTGGCGCACTCAGATGGACACGAAAATGCGTTGATGCTTGGATACGTTTGTTCGAATTGTTTGGGACCGAGTTCGTGAATATTTCTTCCAGCGTATAAGTAGTCGTATCACCATATTGCAAGTCGCAATATATCAGTAAGTCCTCACGACACCTTGACATCCGCTGGCGCGAACACTTGTATGCCAGTCGTAATCGAGCTCCGAATCATTTTTATCGTTGGTTAGGCAATTTCGGTGTAGAGAATTATGTCTTAGTACCGATTGATACCATAGTCAACGATGAACTGACGAAACTTGAGGATGTTTATATTCGGCAATGGTCTCCTGTTCTTAATACGGTAGGTGTTGGGAGATGCAAGAATTGGAAAGGGGGAGGCAAACATCGGTTGGGGAAGAAGGAGCGTTCGAGGACAAGGAGACATATACACGAGGGTCAGAGGGTCATCGCACCGCTTCGGTTTAGATTACATCCACTAGAGAACAGGAGCATGAACCTTTATACTTTGCTGAATGATCAAGAGCAGTTGGGGGAGCGTAATTTTGTAATTGACTCTAGTGGCGGTAATACGTGGCATCTGCCTTGGAGGAATATAGCGAAGAAATTCGGATCAACTAAAGTCTCTTGGAATTCTGACACCAAGCAACTGAAGGACTGTAAGTCGTGGTTTGAAAATGGGGGTCGGCTTACTATCGATTATGTCGTGGCATGGAAACCGAAGTGTGGTTATCTAAAACATGTCTTATTATCTTTACTAAGAAATCCAACGGTACTTAGTAAGGTATATAAGTGGGGTATGCGCTCAATGCTACGACTATATAATGTTATCAAAAACTTCTCAAAAAAGTCGACCAGGAAGTATCTACGCCGATTAATTTCAAGAGTATTTCTGGCGAAATTTGACCTGAGTCTGAGCGCTGACTTGCTAATCAGAGTTAAATTCGACGATAGGATTAGTGTGTGTGAGTTGAGGAAAGTTGTGAATGATGTGCTGATGGATTGTGATTTACCTACTTGTTTTATGCATCGGGCGCGTAAGAAAACTCGGATGATTTGGTGTAAAAACTAGACAGTCGGGGAGTTATTGCACAATCACCGGGTTTTTGCAACCCGGAATGTGCTGACCTGCCAGTGTGTGGGTCTACCCCATCCAAGAGTGGATGGGCATGTGCAATTCCGTCTGCAGAAGGAGGTAGTTCATCACCCACTACTGGCTAACGCGAACAACATCCCTAGAGCACATAGACCGGACCGCTTGTTTTTGCTGAGAAAGGAACTGGAGCTGGGTTTTCATAATTGGAGGAATTTTCATGGTAAGTTGCCTCGTATCTCCGATGCATGTTTGGATGGATGTCTGACCAAGACGGATGAACGACACTACCCTATGTTGTCCATACAGGATGTTGAGGATCTTAAGAAACAGTACGATGGATTGGTCTTGACTCCCCTAGACCGGAATCCAGGTGAGACCGTAGTAATGTGCCCAAAAGTCTACTACGAAGCACTGATGGACATGTTTATACGGAACTCGGGTTACACGGTGATGCAATGCACTGAGTCTGTGATGCTTCGCGAAATTCGCGAAGACATGAAGATGATTGGTCTGCAGAATTTTGATCGATGGGATAAGAACGGGGGAGTAGGGTCTGCGTACATTATTCCGAAACACAAAGATTTGACCCGCTACCGCCCGATTTGTCCAACTTATGGTGAACCTATGGTCCGTACCAGTCGTGCTTTAGTGAAGGGACTAAATTTGATGTTATCAACACTTCCTAGGAATAACCATTTCAACCTCCCAGCCGTATCCCTTTTGACTGAGAGGATCGATCGAGTGAACACTGGTATCAGTCGCCTAGGGAGAGTGAATAATGTGACGGCGCGGTCCTTCGACATTAAGGACATGTTTAGTCGACTCCCGCACAAGGACATTGTCAAGGCAGTGCATTGGTTACTGTGTTTTCACTTAGAGAAGGGCAGGGAGTTCGTACGCGTCAATACCAGGGGACGGGGCGCTTCCTTTGGTCGAACAACAGGGTCTGATTATTGGAGGAAGCTCGAATTCGAGGATATGTGGAATTTCATGAGGATTGATCTACACCATACCTACACTTTTGCGACGGGGGTGCTACTACGACAAAATGTGGGCATTCCGATGGGCAAGAGCACTAGCCCTCCTCTTGCCTGCATCTTATGTGCCTATGCTGAGTGCATGTTTATTCGAAGTTTAGGGAGGTATGGACGTCAAGTGTTTGGGATCAGATTGATGGATGATGTTGTTCTAATAACAGCATCATTATCCGAGGAAAGGTCAACATGGGTATGACATCAGTTCGATGATTGTTACCCTCGTAATCTGTGCTTAAAACGCACGGATGAAGGGTCGGGGAATTTGGAATTCTTGGGGTGTGAGATTAGATGCAAACAATCGCACCCATATCTAGGGTGTATTCAAATGTCAAAGAACGAGGACAGTTCTTGGAATAAGGGAGCACTTGAATTCCAAACTGGCCAGTCCTTCCACTCATGGGGCAGTAAACAGCAAAAAAAACGCATCGATAAGCAGTCACCTGCATCGGATTGAACAGAACACATCAATCCGCAGTGAGATCCCTGGTAGAGTGTTGTCGCTCAAAAGGGAGTTGAGGCTGAAGGATGTTCCGATGAAGTTCTTCAAGCGAGTTTTACATCGCTTCGCTTATCGACGGGATGACATTTGGAAGCAAACCCTTGAATTGATGAAAGACTATTGTTAAGCCTACAGAATGAACAGACTCCAGATGCTTGGACAGGGTTTGAACACAATGATTCGTGGTACTGGTTTGCTTTTGCAATAGAAGGTACTCTGAGTTTCTTAGGATTTTTCGGTTCTGGTTTTGTCGTTTTTGGGTTTGTCCTGTTTGTACATTATTTTGGGCCTTTCTTTTGGTTCTACTTTTTCGCCCATATGACTGAGGGCTTGAACCCGCGTCCACGGGACTCTTAGCGACGATTTGACGTAAGGCCGACATACTCATTGTTAGTAGTTGAGTCTGTACGGTACAAGATTTGTAGCATGTGCTATTGATACAGTGTGTTTGGGTTTGACCGTAGCTATAGCCCGACCGTTTTTCCGTGTTTGGAAAAAAGGTCGGGCGGCACTGTTTGGAAAGGTGCATGGGTTCCTATATAGAGTGTGTGTAATGATTGTCTCGGCCTCTTTCGGGACGCCCACTCCGTGCTTGCGGTGGTGGACGTGGGAATGTTGGAAGGATCGGTGGTTCTTGGGGTTGCGGAATGTACCAGTTGCCGAAACTTTCGAGGATTTTTTGTTACAACACACTTGTCGTCACTCGTTTTCTCGTTTTGAGTTTAACGTGTTGCTTGCCTTGCTCTTTTGTGTTCGACATCTGAGCCATCACCATGACACGAGCAGCACCTGCTAGAAAGTGAGTTCTCCCTTATGCACTTTACAATCAATGTGGTTTTTGCAGTTTTTAACTTAGAAATGTGCTCCTGATTTGCAGTTAGAAATGTTTTCCTATGCCCGTGGAACAGGAACGGTTGATGAGAGTGAGACTTAGTGTAATCTACGGTCAATGTTTGTCTGAACTAGGACCCTACAGGCCGCCCATGGAACAAGGAACAGTTGATGAGAGTGAGACTTTTGGAAAACAACAGAAGTTTGGTCGCCTTCTTACTGCAGGGTCCTCCACTTGGCGTGACATGGGAGGACATCAGTGCCAGACTGTTATTCATCATTTCATCTAGGTTCAATTGCACAGGAGTGGGCTCAGTGGCGGAATCTAATTTATTGCCTGGACTGCATAACCGATTTCAACCCCTGGCCCTACTAAGGGAAGAAACGGATGTAGCACAACAAGGTAATGGAAACGCACCTCCCCGCCCGAATGTCCCTGGTGCTGATAAGCCGGGGCACAGTGGGTCTCCTCAGGTCTCTACTCAGGAAGGGGTACCAATGCAGGTACAGTCTCAAGTACGGATCTAACAGTATCAACTTATTGAAAAACAGCAGATGACGAGGAGGTCTCAGTTCCTACTATTAATAATTTTGCTACCACAGATAAACCTGGGATTGTACAGAATGGTGCAGAGACCTCCCTCACTGTAGCCTTCAACCATCGGAATGAACAGCAGTCCTCGAACCCACACCCGGTGTGCTCGAGTGTCCTGGAAGAAGAGATAGGGGATCCGGAGGAGGAGGAGGATGAACCTTTCCATCTCAAATAGATTTGGGTTCCCCCGAGCTCAGAAGGGAGTGATGACCAATCCGGTTTCCAAGTAATCATTTCTGAGCTCACTCGGGAGAAGAAATATTTGCAGATACCCATTGATCAACAGGTCACCGTACCCAGGAAGCACAATCAAGGTCTAATAGAGTGGGATCCAGGTTCTGCTGATTCACAAACACAAAATGCACCTCACGGGAATCAGGATGTACATGTGGCACAAGTTCTACCCAAAAGGGATAGGCAATTCTCGCTATCTCCCACAAAAAGCCAGCCTGCAAGACTGGGCAACAACACCGTGGCCATTAGTACAGAGGAAAACCCAGTATTAATGGAAATTAAAATGCAGTTGGTACAACAGACAGTTCAAGTAGTAGATCTCACTGAGGATCTTCCCAACAGTCAGCTTCAGAATGAAGGAAAGGACATAGAGAACTCTCATCCCTCTCAAACCTCCCATCTTTGGTACTCCCTCAGACCCTTTCATTGCCCCTTGACCCAGATCTCTCAACCAAGAGACAGAAGCTGAAAATCCGCCTGACAAAAGGTCAGGCGATACTGTCTCCTGTCAAGACGGGCATTATCCTTTTTCTGGTTAGATGCAAGGAGGGCACGTGGGAGGTAGGTTTAACCGTACTTACGAGAGCAATGTATGGAGAGGTAACGACCCTAGGTACCACCTCTCCTTTCCTCTC